GGGGGGGGGGGGGGTAACCTACCAACACGGCTCGCCACGCGGGGTCGCGCATACCGGTGCTTTACACACGTAGATAGATTGTCCCGGCGGTTGTCGTGTTGACGAATGTGTTTTATGTAGCTGGCTTTCTTGGAGAAGGTTTATCGCAAGATCGCAGTCTGGTGAGGGCCCGAAGCTGCGTCGGTCGTGGAGGTGTATCGTATCGTATCGTATCGTATCGTATCGTGTATTTAAGCGGGACGGAGTGTGGCAACAGGTAGATAGCTATCTCTCGGGTCACTTTTCCTTTTTTGAGAATAATCACCTGATCAAGTGAGTGATAGCAACGGTTCAGTCCAGATCACACCGGATCAGACTTGTGCATCGGAAGAGAAGGCTCGAGTGGATTCGTGTGGCAACCTCGTACGGAACTATATATATAAAAGGAGGATGATACAACTGAGCGTTTCTAGGACCTGGAGCCTAGAACCTGGCCTGGACCTTCTTCCCGACGTCCTGCAGCGCCCACGCGCTGCTCCTCGTCCTGCTCCGGACCGACGTCGCCTGCGCCTCGGTAAACCCCTTGGCCACGACCGCCGGGTTGTATCCCAGCCGATTCCTCCGACCAACCTCCTCGGAGGAGACGGCCTCGTTGCTCCTGCCATCAGCCCGCTTGTACACCGTGACAACGACCGCGCCACCCAGGCCGAGATTGTGCTGCAGCGCGACAGCCGCGCCGGGAACGAGTCGGTTGTTAGCCCATCCCCGCAGCTGCCACACCAGCTCAGCGCACTGGGCGATGCCGGAGGCGCCGAGCGGGTGACCTTTGGAAATCAGACCCCCGGACGGGTTGACGACGACCTGGCCGCCGTACGTGATGCCGCCGGCGCGCACCAGCTCGTGGGCCTGGCCGGGGTCCGACAGGCCGAGGGCGTCGATGGTGATCATCTCGTTGGCCGAGAAGCAGTCGTGCAGCTCGCACACCTTGACGTCTTTCGCGGCTACCTGCGCCTCCCGGAGCGCTGTCGCCGCCGCGTGCTTGGTCATCTCGAAACCCATCAGGTCGATGGCTGACCGGCTGAACAGGCTGGGTGCATCTGTCGCGAGGCACTGCCCGGCGATCAGAACGGCCTGCTCCTTTAGGTGCGGCCGCGCATCCAGGAAGTCCTGCGAGACGAGGATGGCGGCCGCGCCCCCGTCCGACGTTGGGCAGCATTGCAGCTTGGTGAGAGGCGCGTGGATCATGGGCGCTTGCATGATCTGCTCGAGCGTGTAGACGTCCTGGAACTGCGAGTAGGGGTTGCGCTGGGAGTGCTCGTGGTTGACGCGCGCGATCTCGGCGAAGTCTTCGTTTGTAGCGCCATATCTGCCATGGACACATCATGTACAGATTAGCATTCTATCTATACTCCCAGGGAGGAATGATGGGTGGTAAAGTGGGAGTGTTTAGAGCCGCGAAGGGGCCAACTCACTTCTCCATATACTCTCTTCCCGCATTCCCAAACATCTGCGCCGCACCAGGCGCGTTCGTCACGCCCCTTGTCGCCTTCATCATCTCGCCAGTGGTGCTGGTAGGGCTGCTGCGATCGTTCCAGAAGCTCTGTAGACTTCCCGGATTCATCTTCTCAAAGCCCACCACCATGATACAGTCCGCTCCCCCATGGCTGATCACGTTTCGCGCCAGGTGCAGGCCCGTAGATCCGGTCGAGCAGTTGTTATTGACGTTGTAGATGGGGATCTGGGTCATGCCGAACTGGTAGAAGACGCGGTTGCCGCAGGTCGAGTCGCCGTAGCAGTAGCAGGCAACGCCCTGGTCGACGTCGTCGTAGTTGATCTGCGCGTCAAGCAAGGCCTTGATGCCGGCTTCGAAGCCCAGCTCCGTGTAGTCGACTTTTCCTCTGGGCTTGATGAACTTGGTCATGCCGACGCCGAGGACGTAGCATGGCTTATTAGGGGCGATGACCATTTTGGCGGCGGTTTTCGCAAGTAGGTATCAGAATTGCGAAGGGTATATGTATATATATATATATATATATAGACAGACAAATGAATCGTAAATTGAAGCAAAGGATACTCGCCAAGTGGTAGATGGAGCAAGTGCCGTTCCCCAGGAATCCAACGTCGTCCGTCGGCTGTTGAAAATGCGGGGAGCCGATACCGAGGCCCGATTTTAGCGCGGATCTCCCGCTTTGGCGTGATATACTTGCTCCCGAAATCGTCACAATTAGATGGATGCAACTACTACGTAAATATATAAGCCGTAAACCATTCAACTTTTGGGCCTTTGGACTCGACCAAGGTCTTGATCTGCTCCGCCGATCCAGAAATTTATGGTTTCAGGAAAGAGTCAGAGGAACTTTGGCAAACTGTAACCGAGTGTCAACATTGGAATGGCTTACCAAGCTAGTCAAGGTCGGAATCCCAACCCCAGCATTGGCCCTTTCAAGCTGCACATTCAGCAAAGTATATTTCTGGTGATGACTACCTATATAATCTCTGCCACTCCCTTGCTTAATAGATCGTCTTAGAGAACTGCTGCACAGCTTGCTTGCTGTCCGAACTAATAGTCACAAGGTGTCCGTTTTCAAACTTGCCGTCTCAGGACCCCTTTAGGTCCCCGGATTCCCGCTGCGTAGAATCAGCTTCGGAAGCCAGCCTCGTACTTCAGCACGCCCTTTATAATCTCGCCCTGACATACCTAGTCCTGATAGTTCTTTGCCTCCTAGGAAAGAAGAAAAATGTATTTCCGGCAGATTTCCACGGATTTCTTTCCTCCCTATCCATTTTCCACGTCCCGCCATGCATCCATCCTTTATGTATCCATCATCATTAATAGATCCAAAACTCACACGTCTTCCCCCTCTCCTTCCCCCTCTCTTTCCCCCCTCTCTTCCTCTCTCACCTCCTCCCGCGCCTCCTCCCCCCTAACCATAGCCTCAAACCTGGCCCTCCACATGGGATCATTCTCCAACTCCTGAAACACGTCCACCTCGTCGGGCCAGTACGCGACGCGGACGCTCTCGACGGCGATCTCCCAGAGCAAGGGCGCGGCGGTAGCGACGAGCAGCGTCAGCCACCACAGGGCGCTGCGCCCGAAGCGGTCGACGAAGCCGTGCTTGACGCCGTAGAAGGAGGCCGCCGGGTCGTAGATGCCGCTCAGGGCGAGGTTCCAGAGCCACCAGGCGAGGACGCCGAGGAACCAGGCGGTGAAGGACGTGATGTCGCGGTTGTGCATGACGAGGAACCTTAAGAGGGGGCGGGTGAGAATATGGACATGGGTATGGGTATTGAAGAGAGGATGAGAAGAGAGGAGGAAGAGGGGAAAGGGAAAGGGAAAGGGAAATCTGAAAAGACGTACATCAGCTTCGTGTTGATGACAATGATACAAACCGCAAACGACAACTGGCCATAGGCGAAAAGGTCCGACGAGTCCTCGAACACGTCGTTGAAGATCGCTGTACCGTAGAGCCCATACACCGTGTAAAAAATGATGACGGCGTCCGCAAGCGCCATCAGGTTCCACCACGCGTACTTGGAGAGGTTGAAGGCTACGTTGCGCTGGCCGCGGCGGTAGAGCTCTGGGATAGCGAGCAGCGTGGTGGCGGACAGGTCTTGGTCGAACACACCAAGGATGATGATGCAGAGGGCGACGAAGAACACGTTAACAACGGATCCGGTCCAGTATTCGTAGAAGGAGGTGCCGGTGAAGCCGTTATAGGGCTGGTAGATGGTTTGGGTCAGGAAGAACATCATCTCTTTCCTGCAGAGATACGTAGAAATCAGCTCTGATCCAAATCGATTGGAAATCGAATAACGGCATAGGGAAAAGAGAACAAATGTCTAGGATGACTCACCAAAACGTGCCAAGGACGTACTTCGCTGTCCGCACGTAGTTCCAGCGGCCGTGGACGAGTAGAAGGCGCTGCAGGAATCGGAATTGGCCGATAGAGTAGTCGGATGTGCGGGCGGCTTGCATCCCTTCCTTACCAGATATACCGATACCGACGTGAGCTTCTTGGATCATGGCAATGTCGTTTGCGCTGTCGCCTGGAAGGATTTTAGTAAGAGCAGTAAAGCGCAATGAGGATTTTCATGACTGATATAACGAGGCGCGAGATAGGTACTTACCGACTGCCAAAGTAATCGACCCCTTGACTTTTGTGCGGATCGTCTTGACCAGGAAAGCTTTCTGCGTCGGACTAGCACGACAACAGATGATCGAGTTCGCCGCAATCACCAGCTTAAAGAATTCCTCCATCAGGGTCGGGTTGCCCTCGATATCCGCTAACGTCTGGCCATCCACGACGACAACGCAGTGCGCCACCTGGCCTTGGCTGATGTCGAGCAAGGCATTTGCAACCGTCGAATCCACATTTTTCTGCTCGTGGTCAAGGATGACGACGTCCGAGTAGCTGGTGATGAGTTTGCACGAGTAGCCGATATTGATGGCGGTTTCTCGCTTATCGCCGGTGAGCATCCAAACAGGCATGCCTGCCCTGCGGAGCTTTTCAATAGTTTCGGGCACGCCCTTTTGCAGCTCGTCTTCAATTGCTGTCGCTCCAGTTAATACCAGATCTTTTTCCAATGACTCGGAGGCTTGATCTATCAATTCTTGGCGGTTGACGAGACTCGTTGAAGCCTCGTGGAAAGCCTTCTTCCACGTCTGATATTCCTCTTCACCGAGATATCTGTGGCCGTAAAGCAGTGTCCTCAGTCCCTCGGTAGCGAAATCGTGGATGTGTCGGAGTGTTGCGTTGAGAATCGCGGAATCATCTCCTGCCACAACGTGATCGATCATCAGCGAGTTGGCCAAAGTCGACGACTTCCTCGAGACGGCCATTGAGGGTCTGGGCGAGTCATTCAGTATGCGACCTAGCGCGTCCATACCGGGTGTGCCATCTGCAGTACTCCTGTTTCGAGCCAGCGAGGGACGACTAATGTAGCTTCCCGCGCGGGAGACTATAGGACGGCTGAGACTACTGCGTGGTGAGTCTTGGCTTCCTCTGCGAAGCTCCTCTTGCGCCTCAGATCTCCGCATCGCAGTCATGCTTCTGCGAATATCGGCATCCTTCTGGACTGCCCCTGTGACAGGATCAAGGCGCTCGAGAATGGTCGAGTCTGCACCCTTGCAGAAAAGACAGATCTTGCCGTCTGGGAACCGAATGATGATGGACATCCGCTTGCGCTTACTGCTGAACTCGACAACATCCAGGACCTGGTACGTCTCACGCGTTGACTTGTCGCCGTCCTTGCTGAGGATTGTAACGGATTGAGAAGGTCTGTCCACTACAATATACCCGAGATCTTTCGCTCCTCGGACCAAGGCCAGTTCGTCGGGAGACATGGCCTGATAGTCAATCTCGCCGTCTGCTCGAGTTTCCGGCAAGGCGGTGTGGCAAAGAGCAATGGCAAGCAAAAAGAAACGTGCCTTTTCCGCAAAAGCTCCATGTATTCCGCGTTGCAGGTATGTGACAAGCTCCTCGGTGGTAGGCTCTCGCTTCTCTGAAGGCATCGAAGACTGCCTGTACAGGCTCGTAGATTCTCGTGTCGCTTGTCGAGACATTCGAGAACCATGCCTTGCCGTGGGCTCCGAGTCCATCAGCTCCATAGACCCCGGATCTGAAATCTGCTTTGCATAACCCGGAAACTTTGAGCTCTCCGCTGCCGTCGGGTGGGGCTGCTTCGATGGCACCCTTTCGACGGCCTCAGGTTTCCTCAAATCGAAGTCGTGCAGCCATGCTGTGCCAGCAACACTCATCTTCCGGAAGCGCATGATGTTCTCCGTCAATGTACCAGTCTTGTCCGAGAATACATGACTGACCTGACCCAGCTCCTCGTTGATCGTATTGGTGTGTGGCTCCATGGGCGTATTGCTTTCCGCGTCGTACATCTCAATATCTCCCATCATGTACATCTGTCCCACCTTGACAATTTCCAGACTGATGTACAGCGAGAGTGGAATCATATTAGAGAACATGACGAACGCACTCAGAAACAGGTCTATCTCTTTGATAGAAGCACCCATCAGGTACGTCGCATCATCTTCTTCCTTGGACCTCCAGATGCGGTAAGCGGCAAGGTTCAGACCTGTGAGGAGCATGACGAAGCACGCGATGATAACGACAATCTGGTTGACGATGTGCTGCATGGAAGGAGCCTTGGCTCGGGGATTCCTCATGGCGTTCATCCGGATTTTGCATTCCTCTCCGGTGTTGATCACCATGCCGAAGGCATTTGACGTGTTGCGCAACACGCTTCCCCGATATATGATCTCGCTTCCTGTTAGTGGTAAGGTCTTGCCGTCGATGGTAATCTGGCCGTCAAAGTTGTATAAGTCAATGTTTGGATCTTCAACCACGATGTGCGCTCGACAGCGGGGGACATCGCTCTCGCTCTGGCATGATTCCCTGAGCATTGTCGGCGCTTGCTTGGCTTTGAGATTGGACTCTCCGTCCAGTGCTGCGGTATCGATATACGCCAAACCGTTCGGCCCATCCGCGTAGATGAGAACCAAGTCCGCCGGGATGGCATCGTTTCTGCCGAGTTTAACGATATCTCCTACCTTTACTTCATACCACTTCACTGTGAGCCAAGATGCGTCGCCTGCATCTTTTATTCGCAAGACCTCGACCTTGCTCCGATTCTCCACCCGATCCATGACATGACGCCTGTAGTCGTCGTAGCCCTCCTTCGCTATGGCAATACTAACAAAGACCATCAAGGGCACAATCGTACTGTAGGTCCCCGTCGTACTGAACCCGGTGAGTTGCAAGATGGAAACACAAAGGAAGTAAAAGTTCGACACGCGCGAGAATTGGAAGATGATTTGCCGGGGCAGAAAGTTGAAGAAGTTATAGCGACTAGACGTGATAGTGTTACCGATGTAACCTTTCCCCGTGCGCTCGTCGATCCGCTGTCCTTTGAATGTAGGGTCAAGGTCAATATGTCGCCCATTCTTACTCGGCGGAATGTCCCTATTCCTGGTAATGATCTTGAAGATTTCGATCACAGAGGACTTGAACTTTGCCGCGTGACGCTTTCGTTGAGCCCAGATCCCACCGTCACCGGGGGGAGTTACAGAACTCGGCTTTGAGTGCTTCCCGTGACTTAATACCGTCTCCTGCTTGCCTGGCGACGACGAGAGGGCATCTAGCCGGCCCGCCACCTCCTCCTCGACATGCCCCTTGACCTCCGCAGGCTCCGCAAGAGCCGGCAAGGCTCCCTGCTCGGGGTCCAGCTCGACCGCATTCTGATCCGACAGCGCAAGATTCCTCGCAAACGCGGCTCTCCGCAGCGAAAAGCCACGGCTCCGCGTCTTTGGTGCCGGCGGGATCCGTCTGGCCGTCCCCGTCGATGGCTGGTGTGCCACTCCCGAGGATCCCGAGGGTGACAGCGACGAGGGGGCCAGGGAACCGGCGCCAGCGACGATGCCTACACCACCACCACCACTACCACCACCATCCGCCCTTGCGTTCCCAGCTCGCGCGGCTGGAACTCTCCCATCGCCGGTTCCTGATCCTTCACACCCGGGCGTTCCGGGCATCCTTCCCAGCTCCCGCGCCTCGCGTCGCGTCGATTATCAATTAGTGAAAGATATAAATATAAAAATGTACACGATAGACAAGCGCCTCAATTGATGGACATTTTGGGCGCAAAAAGCCAAAAGCAGGGTTCATGGATGCGAGGAATGGTAATAAATGAGTGCAGGATTGTGGAGGAATACGTGACGCCATACATATATTGGGACTTGGGATAAATCCACGTAATCTGGAAATACGGAGGGCGGCTGATACTTAAGTGGCGTTCTTGGATTTCTTTAGCCGCTTCTGGGGTAGTAAGGGGGATGGCATCCTTGGCATCGTGGGTGCTCGATGGGAATCACGTGTGGCTCAACCCGAGAAAATCGGGTCTTACAGATACCAGAAAGAATTAAATAAGTTAAAGCAGATTCTAGGTAGTTGAGCTTCAGAAGTTGGAAAAAGCGGTGGCAGATAGAAGGTGAAGAGGCGGGCTCGACTACTTCCAGGCCAGCGCTCGCTTACTCCCGGCTTGTTTGACTTCTCTCTGAATTTATCGCGGGATGATGCGATTTCTATGATTGATATATGTATATAGGCCTATCGAGACTCCGATAGTATCTTTGCGAGAAGGGAGGATGAAGCGATATGTTGGTCAAGTCTTTACAGAACCGTGGCTTATCTGCTTTGCGGGATCGACGGTTGGTTTAACATCACTAGGAGTAGTTTTGATGCCATTATCCATTATCTGTTATCC